ATTTTGATTTTGGCGAAAAATATATAATGTCTGGAGAATTTTGTATGGTCGGAAATGCAAAAAAAGAAGGAGGGAAGAAGGAGAAGGATGGGAAAGAGAATGTTAATCCAGTACCCGACCGAGTTACATTTTCTCGCAATTCACATTGGCGGATGTGGGGGAGGGGATCATGGGTCCTGACCTCTCCCTTGTGCAACAAAAAAAAAGGGAAAAAAGAAAAGAATTCTAGATTAGAATTTTGAAGAACATAAAATTCATTAAAACACACTTCAAATGTCGGGAAAGCTCAATTCCCGCCATTTAGGAATTATGATTTTCCTGGGGAAGAACACCACCCTTTCTTTTTGGGATTTATCGATTCATGAAAAAAAGAATACGCATGCAACTACTCATTTGTTTATGTATGTATACACACATAAAATAAAAAATGATAAAAATTTACCTGACCTTTTTAAAGAGGGGAAAACCTTGAATTTTGAAGAACTTTAAAAGTCTTTAAAAGACATTTCAGAAGTCAGGTAAGCTCATCTCCCGCCATCTAGAAATCGAAATTTTTCCGGGGAACCCGGACCCTTTATCTTTGGAGTTCATTGATTAATTGAATCATTTTCAAGGGGGAGGGGGGACACCTTGAATTTTGAAGAATTTGAAAGTCATTAAAAGACACCACAGAAGTCGGGGAAAGATCATTTCCCGCCACCTAGGAATCAAAATTTTCCCGGAGAAGAACCACGTGACCTCCCCACACCCCACCTTTCTTTTTGGGGTTTATCGATTCATGGAAAAACTACGTATGCAACTTACTCAATCTTTTTTTATGTATGTATACACACATAAGGCCTATTTACTGTAATAACAATGGGAAAAAATATCTGACTGTTTTCAAGAGTGGAAAACCTTGAATTTTGAAGAACTTAATTACTTTTAAATTCTTCAAAATTCAAGGTGTTCCCCTCTTGAAAATTATTATAATGAATCAATGAACCCAGGGAAAGGGATGTTCGAGTTCTTCCCGGGAAAATGTTGATTTCTAAATGGTGAACAATGAGATTTCCCGACTTCTGAAGTATTTTTTAATGACTTTAATTTAAAAGACACCTCAGAAGTCGGGAAAGCTCATTTCCCGCCTTCTAGGAATCAAAATTTTCCTGGGGAAAACCCCCGTACCCCCTTTCTTTTTGGGATTCATCGATTCATGGAAAATTTGTATGCAACTACTCATTTTTTTTAAATTGTTATGTATGTAACACACATAAGGCCTATTTACTGTAATAACAATGGGAAAAAATTACCAGACCGTTTTCAAGATAGAAAAACCTTGAATTTTGAAGAACATAAAAGTAATTAAAAGACACCTCAGAAGTCGGGAAAGCTCATTTCCCGCCATCTAGAAATCGAAATTTTCTTTGGGGAAGAATGTTGACCCCACCACCTATATTTGATTCCAGATCTGCATGATTCATATTCCCATTCATCATTAACAGTGGCGTAACAGGCGGGGCAATGGGCAGACTGTTCCCCCCCCCCCCTCCGGGCTGACCAAGCTGTCGTACCGGGCTGGGTAAGAAGAGAAAAGAAATAGGGGAGAGGGAGGGAAAGAGAAAGAAGGGGAAAGAAAGAGAAAAGAAAAAGGAAAAGAGAAGAGAAAAATAAAGACGAGAATAAAAAGGAAGATATAATGAACAGATATCACAGTACCCCTGCCTGCAACAAATTCTCCACTTCAAAAAGTGTCCAAAGCGCATTTGATCTAAGCCGCCAGGTATTCTCCGCAGTGGTGTAATCACCGGGGGACAAGGGGAAAATACTTTCCCCATTGAATGCCCTTTTCACCCGGGAAAGTGCCTGAAATCTCAAATTTTAAATCGCATATTTTGTTGAGGTAGGCTAATTTCCTCTAAAAATTCCACATTTTAGGGAGTTTTGATCAATTCCGACGAAATTAGAATTTAAAAAACAAAAGTTTTTCGTGCGCTTCGCGCGCATTTTTCATATTAAAGCTTGTGCTTGCTCCCCTTTGCCTTCTAAGTTATAACACATAGTCCCAAACTCAAGAAAGAAAATTTAAGATAGATCGTTTTACCTATTAAAGAAGGGCCTCAATGTGTAATGATGTTGAAAAATATGTTTGTAATAAATAAAGCCATAAGGAAAATGCTTATATTCAGTTCAAAAAAACCAGTGTGGCCATATATAACATAAGAGCATTTCTTGTTGAGGTAGGCCAATTTCCTCTAAAAATTGCACATTTTAGGGAGTTTTGATCAATTCCGACGAAATTACAAGTTAAAAAACAAACATTTTTCACGCGCTTCTCGCGCACTTTTTAATGTTAAAGCTTGTGCTTGCTCTCCTTTGCCTTCTAGGTTATAACACATAGTCCCAAATTCAAGAAAGAAAATTTAAGATAGGCCTAGATCGTTTTACCTTCGCGCGCATTTGTTAGGGTTAAAGCTTGAGCTTGCCCTCCTTTGCCTTCTAAGTTATTTTAAAACCTAATACTCCCAAAACTTGAGAAAGAAAATTTAAGATAGATCGTTTTACCTAAAAGAAGGGCCACAATGTGTAATGATGGTGAAAGAATAGGCCTATGAATTGTAATAAATAAAACCATGATGAAAAAATGCTTATATTTAGTTTCAAACACACGCGTGTGCCCTATATTAATATTAAAATAGGCCATGTCGTATTGT